CTATAATTTCTGGTATTGATAATTTGGTCTTGAATAGCTATTATAAAGCCTTCAGTCTCCGGGAAAAGGGTGCCTATTTTGAGCCACTTATTTGAGGCTTCTTTGTCTATGAGTGGTTGTTGGAGGTCATTGTAATGTCGTCCATGGAGGACTTTTTTCTGCCATGCTTCATTTAGATTTGCTTCTTGTTCGCTGTGTGTTGGGATATTTTCTGTAGAAGATTCGTGTAGCTTAAGGGGTGTGTAACTGTTGTCATATTTTACTATAGCTTTATGAATATTACTAGTGAGAGCTTTCTGTTTGAAAAACTTTTGCAATGTATCTACTTGCCGTTTCCAAAGGTTTGTTATATATATGAGACCCCTACCCCCATTTTGTCTCTTAATAGTAAGTCTTTCTATTGCTGACTTTGGGTGATGGTGGTTGTGTTTTGTAAGAGTTGTTCGTGTCATCCTTTCTATAGAATTTATGTTGCTGTTACTCCATTTGATGACGCCAAACGAGTATGTCAGTACCGGGATTGCGTATGTGTTGATTGCTTTTATTAAGTGTTTTCCAGTTAATCTGCTTTTACAAATGTTAATTACTCTCCTTTTATACTCTGAAATAAGTTTAGTTTTAATATGTTTATGATCTATACCCTTTATTTGTTCGTATCCCAGGTACTTGTACATTTCGTTTGGTTCCATTGCCTTGATGATCTGATCCCCACCCTCAGAGTCTGCAATCACACAATCACCAGCGCGTATTTTGCCCTTTATTAAGTGAAGTGTCCTGCATTTGTCTAACCCAAACTGCATGTTAATATCTTTACTAAATTCGGTCGTTACTTTTATTAATTTATCCATTTCTTTGTCTGTTTTTGCATATAATTTTATGTCGTCCATGTATATTAAGTGTGAGATTGTGGTGTGTGTGCTATCATGTTTTAGTTGGAATCCTGCGCGCTGATTATTGAGTAATTGAGAGAGAGGGTTTAGAGCGAGACAGAACCACAGGGGGCTTAAAGAGTCTCCCTGATATATACCTTTACGAATTGTTATTTCTCTACTAGTGATTGAATTATGGTAATTATTGAGTTGCAGAGTAGTTTTCCAGATTGGCATTAGTGATTTGAGAAAATTTATTATGTCACTATTAATTTTATATACTTCTAAAATGTTTATAAGCCAGGAATGTGGTACGCTATCAAATGCTTTTTTATAATCTATGAATGTGCAGTGGAGGTTACGTTTTTTAGTTGTGGCATGTTTGTGTATAACTGAATCTATTATAAGTTGCTCCTTACACCCCATGTGGCCCCGCCTACACCCTTTTTGTTCTTCAGCAATTATATTGTGTGTTTCTACATGTGATCGTATTTTACTTGAGATAACTGATGTTAAAATTTTATAAATAGTAGGTAAGCAAGTAATTGGTCTATATTGGGATGGTTCCGAGGTGTGTTGATTTTTAGGTAACATAAAGGTGAGGCCCTTAGTTAAAAATTCCGGTGGTTGTTGTTGTCGTAATACTAGTTCTGTTAAGTTTTTGGCTAAAGGCTCATGAAGTACTAAGAGCTTTTTGTACCAAAAGTTGTGGATTTTATCCACACCAGGGGATTTCCAGTTATGTAGTTTATCTGTTATCATTCTAATATCTTCTTTTGTTATTTCATGAAATTCCATTTCTTCTATGGTCTCCCATCTCTTCTTTTCATCTGCAATCCAATAAGCTTCTACGTTATGCGTTACTTGTGTTTCCCAGATATTTGACCAAAAATTTTCTAATTCTTCTTTACTAGGAATTTCATTTGATGTTAGTTGTACTGTTGTGTCATTAACGCCACTATCTATTTTTGTGTTTAACTTTCGATAAAACATTTTCTCATTGTTGGCAAATAGGTAATTGTCCTGTCTTCTTTGTAATGCGGTTCTATATCTTTTATATCTATTCGATTTGAGTGCTAGTTTTTGCTTTAGGGTGTCGAGGTATTCTTCCGGTGTTTTGTTGTTTGGTTCGTGTCTAGTATGTAGTCTAGTATTATTAAATATGGCAGTTACTCTATCTACTACCTTTTTTGATCTATTGTTGTGTGCAATGTATTGAGTGAGTTTTCCTATATCTGACCTTAACTTACTTATTTGTCTTTCTAGTCTTATTTGCCACGCGGGTTTACGATCTTGTGAATGTCGCTTAGGTCTATCATTATCTTGCGGTTTATATCCTAGCTCGTGTGATATAACTGATGCAGTACAGTAAATCAATGTATGGATATCACTAAGTTTTGAATCAATTGTTATGTATTTTTCTAGTAGACTATTATTAAATATATGAACTAATTTAAGAAGGTGTTTGCTGTATTTTAACTTAGGTAGTTTAGGCCGTGCTGAAGGATCCATTCCGGAAAAGAGTAAAATAGCGCTTTGTAATTTTCCTTCCAGGTCTAATACTATCGTGTTTTCGTTCCTATATTCAACCGCAAGAGATTCTACTTCGTTTTCAATTAATAATGTTATAATATCTGTTTGAGTGCTCATGTCTGATGTCGCATGTTGTGGTGATAATGTATGCCCGATGTATAAGTCAGATGTTTGAGATTGATGTTGTGTATGACTTAGTGACCTAGGTACATTAATTATGGTACCGTGGTTATGAGTGGGAGGATAGTATGAGTGTGGTTGTGAGTTTGTGAAGTCATGTATGAGATTCTGTGTGTGTAAGGGTATGCTATGTTCTATGTTTTCTTCCTCTTGTAGTTTAATTTTTACTTCTTCTTGTAATTTATTTAGAACTTCCGTACTTAATAGTTTATTCCTAACGATAACTCTCCTTTGATCTGCTATCCTTTGTTCCGTAACATTTATTTCTGGGTATTGTTGTATGAATTTCTGATGTAGAAGTGTTCGGTATGTAGTTAGGTCTGTCTCTAATTTGGTGATATAGTAATATGTGCGCATGATAAATGTATTTGCTTCAGGTGACCATCTCATGCGCACTCTGGGTTTCCCAGCCTTCGTGGACGCAGGTAAAAAGGTCTCTTGGACCACCTGCGCAACAGCACAGGTGGGGTTTTCGGCTTCCCTAGACTCCTCGTCCGTTGGAAGAGGTGAAAGTGAAGGTGCATATGATGTTGTACTTGGACTAAATGGTTCAATGATAGATGAGGATGGTGATGAAGGATGTAGTGCTGTAACTTTTTCGGGTGACCCGGTGGGAGCCCGCCTACTCAACTCCGCACCGCCGACGGTTCGTCCACTGCCACACCCAGCGTCAGCTCCAAGTGTGCCCCGGCGATCGCCCCCGGGCAGCGGCCCTATACGTTTACTCTTTGATCTAGTCTCCATTTTTGATGGGTTTCCATTGCCATGTTAGCCGCGCCAGTAATTTTTCAATCGCGTGTCCGCCCCCCACGTGAATCTGATGGTCGATTCGGACGTATGGTTGGATTTGGGGGGCTTATTATTATTATTATTATGTATGTCTTTACCATTCACGGGACCACAGGGTCCCGGTCATTTGGGAGGCGTACGAGGGGCCGAAGCCAACTGCGCAGAGGCCCTTTAGACAACTTTAATCTAAATGTAATGGAGACACAAACCGGCGACTATCCCTGTATGCACTATGGAAATGCACCCAAGGACAGTCCCCGGTTAGTGTAGGACTATTGTGAATAATGGAAAAAAAAAAAAAAAAAAAAAAGGTAGGGCTATGGATGGGTTGCTATGGACTGGTAAATTGGGAACTATGGATGACTATGGCACCTGCCGAAACAATGTAATTTTTACACGTAAAAATGGCAGGCGGAGACTCGCCAACTCACCGACCGGGCCCCGGGAATGGTTGCTAGATATAGCAACAGAGGGGCAACGAGAATGTGAGTGGCTGAAGGGTTAAGAAACTACCACCGCTTTCTACTCAGATCATCTGCTCCAGCCGAAGCCTCCTGCATCCCTGGCCCACTCGCGACTTACGGATAGTTTCTTACCCTCCGAGCAGGATCACTGCTCTCGCGACTCCACTCTGGACGGCCAATGAAGGCAAGCCAGAGGTGGGAGACCTGTTCCTTGTCATCGTTCACTCCAGCCAGCCAATTAAGGCAAGCCGGAGAAGAAGGAACGGTGACTTCTCCCTGGAGCACTCGGGATGATGGTAGCCCGCGGGATCGCTAATGCCCGTCACCTCGCCTCAAGGTGCCCTGCGGGCTTTATTATTATTATTATTATTAAATATGTACATTATCAGAAAAGCGCATGTCGACTCTTTTATGCATTTCCAACGTTTCAGCATTAGGTGATCTTCAAACAGTGATTAAAGTGATTAAGGTGACCATCAACAGTCAAACAAGTAACATGGTGCACGCACTACGGCTCACTCATTGTCAGGGACACTCGAATCCCTGTTTTATAACTTTTGTTTCCCGATAAACATAAATTAAGCTTTGATAAGATTGACTGATTGTCAGTAGATTTATCAAAATCTAGATAACTCCTTAGTAGTAGCTCAACGAGTAAACGCATATCTAATACTATACGGCAAGTCACTGTAGCTGCAATAATACTTTAGGATACTATATAAGTGAATATGCAAAGGATCGTTTAGAAATAACTTGCTCCATTTTTATTTTTGACCTGCATTTGTTTATTAGCTATGGTACAGTGTGATGTTATCCTGTATCTACCATTATTATCAAGAAGTAATTATAAAACGGCCAAAGTGTCGGTACATGGTAAGTAATAGCTATATAGAGCAACACACTACAACCACACTCCCGTAGTTTTATCATACTTGTGCAAGTAGTTATAATAATTATTCATTATACTTACTAACAAAATACGGCATACAGTAGTTCAGCTCTCCTTTCTTTCGTGATCTCCATAGTTATTAGCATTTTAATATTTAAATTAATACTAAAATAAAATATATGCATTTATTATTTCAACATGTAGGTAGGTAGTATTTTATTTTTACATTTTTTATCTTAGCTTTTATTCGTGAAATAAGCATAGCATTACAAAGATCTATTGTTCGGTGTATTCGATGATTTTATTAACTTCGTCGAAGGCATTGGCATCCATAGCTTTGATTAGATTAATGATCCTATCATATAGTAGCTCTCTTGCATTAATACCATATATAAAATCAATATGGCTAAATGTGCGTTGAGGAATACGGAACTTTCCTATCGGTCTACCAAGCTCTCTGAACAGTCTGTCAACATCATTGACATGGGCCAACGGGTCGCTGTCGGAGTAGTGGAGGAACACAGGAGTCGTTACTTTAGATAAATCATAGTTTGGAGGCCTGAAGGAACCGTATGCTCTGTAGTTGGAGATTCGGGAGCCGTGGTCGTAGCGACGGAAACCTCTGTCTGTGATACCCTGTCCATAGTGGTGGAACTGTCTTACTGATGCACCAGCCGGTGTGTGGCCAAAGATAGCAGGCATCATCGTCTGAAATCGTTAATTAATTGTTTAAGTAAAGTTTTGTTCATAATCAAACTCAATTCCTACTTAGATAACGAAGGTAAATTTTCCGCAACTCACCGAATTGTGTTGGTCTTCGTTCCACCCACCAATCAAGAACATGATGTTACTGCAGATTGGTTGGAATACTACTTCATCGCGACACATAGATTGGCCGGCCCACGTGAAGATAACACTGTTGGGCATGAACTCACCGATGCCAATCAGACGAGCAATGCTCTGAAACATTGTGAAATATTTGTTCAATGAAAGGAACTTCGGCGTTTTTAAAAAAAAATCAAATAAAGAACATTTGACTTACTTCAATATCGTCACCATAAGATGCCAAAGCCCTCAAAAATAGGTTTCTATTGTTGGCCATGTAAGCTACTGGAGCCATGGCGTGCATAGAAATAATTTTAGCATTGTATTCAGGTCGCAAGGATCCTAAAACGAAGAAAGACGTAGTACCCTGTGAGTGACCGATGTAGTGCAGCCTCTCTTGTCCCGAAACCTCAAGGGCGTAGTCAATCATAGTGGGCAAGTCAATGTTGCCTATTTCATCCCAAGAGAATTGCCAGAATGCTGTACTCAGCAAAGCGTCAGGGTTTAGTCTGACGTGATTACGAGAGTAGTAGTTACCGCGAGCGTTGCCCATCCATACATCGTATCCTTCTTCAGCGAGAATATATCCTGAAAAAATAATAAAGATGAAGGATTCTTAGTCTCTCTCAAAAGTTAGGTCTATCACATGTGTCCACAAGCTCTCAAATGCGTAAACTCACCCAAACCAGAGCCGGGGCCCATTATAACAAAGTCAGCAGATGAAGAAAGTAGACCGTGCATGATGAACACGACCGGCTTTTTCTGATTCGGTACATTGTTCGCATCACGTCCGTGAGGGATGCGGTGCATTCGCAAGATGTAGCCATCTTCTGTTGTCACCGTGTGTGTCTCAACTGGGTAACGGTATTTTGTGATCAATTCTGGCTGAAATTGTAACAAGCATTTGACATAATTTATTTGTTTACCGTACACGTATATTTGTAAATACACCTACTTAGCCACACTAAAGTAGAATCATTTGATACATCTCAATCGTGTCCCTATTGTATAATTGTTCACACTTGTAAACTGTTGTAGGTAGGTATAGTAGATGATGACAATGCAAATTAAAGTTGATAAGTAATTATTTATCTTCAAATTTTACAAAACATGCTAATTTAAAGTTTGAACAATAAAAACTACCATGCAAGTATTGCATAGTAAGATATGCATTGCACTGTCTCTTAAAATCTTACAATATGATTGGAAAGAATGACAAAGAAAATCCTTAACAGGTTCTTTCAAGAATTCTAACTTGACTTGGGTGAGGTGAGAACATAATAAGCTAAGCTAAAGGGCTTCCCATTTGACATCGCGAGAAGAGGTAGCAGAGGCACCATTTACTCTCACATGCACTGTATACCAATACCGACACAAATTTTCTTCATAGACAAGCACAATATTTGATTAAACATAACGAAGTACGATTAAATACTAGGTACAGTTAAGTGCAACTCACCACATCTAAGTTTGCATCTTCAAATACATCAGTAGAGTAGCGTAAGTCGACATTTTCCAACAACTCCTGAATATCGTCGGAAGAACCGGAGCTCCTGGCAGCCGCCAGAGCGACGCAAGTGGCTATGGCCACCAACAGCCCTACACGTAACATGATCCACTAACAGTCGTTTACTACTTACCAATAAATAACAGTCTCTGTCTTTTATAACTTTCCTAGATTTGTGATAAAGTGTTTAAGCTTTGATAGCATTAACAATCACAGCCAAAATCTAGCAAGTGGCTATTACAATAAACAAGTTATCGCGCTTACGTATGTAGCAGTACTTCCTACGTAAATAATTGTCAGTTGTGGTGTCTTTACGTCAATTAGTTCGTATCTTATCGTAAGTTCTCTGCAGTGGTGATCGTGTAGTCGCAGCCATCTGTAGTAGCCGGGTATCTAAGGCCCGATTAACAGTTCGTTTTGCGTGTCTTTACATTGTTCTCACATATGTGTACAATATTGGAATATGTATCAGAGACATAACAGATTTTTTTAAAAAGTAACGAATGGAGTTTCTTGCTCGTTCTTCTCCACTCGAATCTACATTTTGGAGCGAGCGCTTAATTTTTTTTATTTATAGCGCGCTTTATATATAGAGCGCTTTATTAATTATTTAATATTCGTTGATGTTTCAAAAGTACCAAATTATGTTTAATTTAATTAAAATTATGTTTTATTTAATATTTAATTGAAATAAATGCTTTTGAGTTTTGAATTTGAGTTTGAGTTTTGCTAAATAACTACTTATTTATCGTCCTAATTATCTCCCTATGTCGGTATGGGGAAATTAATTATAATAAGATATTTACCGAAAAATCTTATGTGATTTGTTTCAGGTGACAATTGTCATGAGTTTGACTTAATTATTTGAAATCGAAAAGTACAATATTGTTGAAAGCGTTTAGGTACACAGTGCCACAAAATGAAAATGAATGACGTTGAATGGAACTTTAAAATGTGACAATATTCTTATTCGTAGCATAACTCGTAGCTAAAAGTCAAAGTCATCGTAGCAGAAAACAGTCTATCGGGCTACGCTGTGCTACGCCGCGGGACTTAAATCATTTTTATGCAATTCTACATCAATAAACAGCTATAAACGTGTAAGTACATGATTACTATACCAATTACTTATGTATTGAGATAAATCTTAGAATTGAACTACCTACTGTAATTGTGTGTAAAATTGAAGATAATATCTAATCTAATTGATATCTATCCATCAATTTATTCTGTTCCTAGACAACCCAGTTTCCTTGTTAAGTAATAGTTTTGTCGATTTATATGAACTTTATAGGATTTTCCTTAAACGTATGTCTCTACTCTGATATTGTGTCATTAGTGTAATTGTGACAAAGAAAGTATTTATGCCAAATATTAACCAAATTAGGAGACTTCATTGATATTTTTTAAACCTTTGTCTACAATTCTTTTCTAATCAACACGTGTATAGAACCTAGAACACCCAGCTCGTCATTAAAGATGCGAAAGTATCGCATAATAATTAAGTTGTTGTTTATCATAAATAAAACCATATAGAAACCAAACACATGTACTGGATGAGTGATTTATATCAATACAGCATTATAACGCGTGATACTGTAGGTAAAGACCGCCTCGTTGACCGAGTGGCCGACAGTACGACTGCCGGGCAAGAGGTCTCGGGTTAGATTCCCGGGTCCGGCAAAGTATTACTGAGTTTTAAAAAAATCTCAGTGGTAGCGGAGTCTGGAGTTGTGCCCGGTATATGGCAATAGGCTCACCCCCTATTACATGGGACTCATAACATAAAATAGTGAAAAGTGAGTGTTACATGTACAGTACCGTAATGTGCACTTCTGCCTACCCCTTCGGGGATAAAAAGCAAAGGATATTATGTTATGTCATATGATACTGTAAATAAATGTGGTAGTGCCATCTATTAATTATGATATGAACTAAATGTACAATTTGGAGGCAATGATTCGAGTCATATTCCGGGACTTTTTTCTACAGGTTGTAGTAGTCTGTATCACTTTGTTAAAAAAACCTCCACATAAATGATACATCTAAACAGATTTACCAAGGGATGGTAAGTAAAACGCGAGTGAGGTTTGGAACAGAATGATTTATTAGAACGTCTACTCGTTTTATTTATACGTTTGGGGTAAACATTAATTTTACTCAAAATATGACGGACCAATCATAAACGACTAATAGTTCACGGGCCTGCCGCGCTCAAGGCGTGTCGCTGCTGTCGTCGAGGCGTCTGGTACACAGATAAATAAAATTGCAGTGTCTGTTTGTAATATTAAAATAACCGCTTTTTACTACACGCATATGAATATACATACGACACACATACCAAAATAACATTTTAAATTTTTTTGTCTGTCAGTCTGTTTGTATTGGCTAATCTCTGGCATAGCTGGACCGATTTTGACGGGATTTTATTGGCAGGTAGCCGATATACCAAGGAGTAACATAGTATTATTACTACATACTTACCTACATACATACTTTTCACTTTGGAAAATTTAAACAAAAAAAAATTATGTCCTAAAATTCATATTCTACACGGACGAAGTCGCAAGCAATAGCTAGTCAACTATGACATCGTTTCATTTCGTCATTCTATTTTTGCATCAATCAAACGAAAACATTAGTCTTTAATCTATGTATGAATATATATAAAAGTGGCAATGTAACGAAATGGTTGAATGTTAGTGTGGTGACAATGAAATTAGTTTCATCAGATATTATCAGACTGTAATAAGTCGATAAAGGAGCTCTCGGAGAGAAGAGAAACTCAACGTGGAGTATTCAATATGTGTATGTATATTTATTTAGTCTCCATAGCATTGTCTTAAATCAAACCCACAATGAAGTGATTTTCACCTGCAGACTTGTAAAGTACAAAGTACATTATGACGACACTATGTAAGCAGGATGTCCAATAAAATACAAATCTTTTTAGCCATGTACCTAACCATTTAACAAATCCTGTAATCATGCTACTAATCCCGCTGCATATTATCACTACAGTAGCACTTAATTGTTAGGATTTACTTAATCTATGCAAAATGAGATACTATATCATTTATGAATAGTCATTTGATAATACTAAAGCCGACTTAAGGAAATTTTGATAGTTACCAAGTACCCAATAAATTGATAAAGACAAACTTCTCACACACCCATTTTTGGTCATTTACACTACAAAGTTCAGTAACCTAGCCTTAATGACAACTCGTGTAGTATGATTACTTACTGATTCTCTTCGAATTTATCTGATTTAAAGGTATAAGAAATAAAAGTCACTTATGTATGTCCTCGAGTAGAATTTAATAAGAACATGTGCTGACTATGCACTGGCATCCAATGATTTCATAATATTAACCACTTCGTCATATACTAACTCCTTCGCGTTTATACCATACATGTAATCAACATGGCTGAATTTCTCTAAAGGTACCAAATACATGCCCATCGGATTCCCTAGTTCACTGAACAATGTCTCAACATCTGGGACTTCAGCGAGTGGGTCGCCTGTTGAATAATGCAGGTACACTGGACTGGTTACTTTAGATAAATCATAACTGGGTGGAGTAAAGGACCCATACTTTAGAAAATTAGCTAAATTAGTTCCGTAGTCATATCGACGAAAACCTTTGGCAGCAATTCCTTGTCCGTAATGTGCAAGCTGTTTTACAGAGGCACCAGCCGGAGTGTGAGCGAAGATAACCGGCATCATAGTCTGTGAAATTAAGTTACAATATTATTATTACTGTTACCCGCAGCTTCGCACGCCAGGTTGAAGGAAAAAGTAGCCTATATCACTCTCCAGCCTCTGAACTATGGCGAGACCATTTCTAGCCACCGTTAACACTGGCCTGCGGACGGCGAGCAAGGGTAACCAGAACCAGACCTAAGCGTACGGTGCGTCGCGTTCCGCGAGCACCTTAAAGAGCCATCAGACCACCACAAATAGGACCCGTCGGTCCAATACGGCTGATGCTGATACAGAGCCGCAGAGGACTTAACGGGTTGCCGGGGCTCCCCGGCTCGAAATGCAGGAGTAGGAACGGAGTGGAATTTAGGCAGTAAAAGCCTGACACTCCCTCTCGCCTCACCCGGGCGGGAGAAGTCATTAGATGAATTTTCCCCGGAAAAAAATAATTTAAAAATGCCTCTCAACTTATACCATAGAATCGAATAATATGGATATTAGGACTTACAGTGTTAAGTTGTGCTTCATCCCATCCACCGATCAAAAACAAAATGTTACTGCAGATAGGTTGGAATACTACTTCATCACGACACATGGCTTCACCCGCCCACGTGAAGATAATCGAATGAGGCATAAACTCACCCACACCAACTAAAGATGAAATCGTCTGAAAAATACAACAATGAATGAGATATTTGATCTCAGGCAAGATATTAACTTCATAGATACATTCACGGAACTTACTTCAACTTCAGTAGAAAAAGGTGCTAATGCATTCAGGAGGAGGTTCTCGTTATGCGCCATGTAAGCCACGGGAGCCAGAGCGTGCATAGAAATGATTTTATCGTTGTATTCTGGTCGCATAGCTCCCATTACGAAGTATGATGTAGTACCCTGTGAGTGGCCCACGTAATGAAGCTTTTCTACCCCGGTAGTATCAAGTATATAATCAATCATAGCAGGTAAGTCCATGTTGCCTATGTCATCGTAAGAAAACTGCCAAAATTCTGTGTTCAGTATGGCGTCAGGGTTCAACGTAACATGCTTACGAGAATAATAGTTACCGCGGGAATTGCCTAACCAGACGTCGAATCCTTCTTCAGCAAGAATGTAACCTGTAAAAGTAATTAAATTTTAAATAATAATAGTCAATAGGTAGATAGCTTTTTGTCCATAAAATTCAAAAACAAATTTTTATTTTTACCTAAACCAGAACCTGGCCCCATGAGAATAAAGTCAGCAGATGAACAGAGCAGACCATGCATCACTAACACAACAGGTTTGTTTTGATTAGCCACATTGTTAGCGTCGCGTCCGTAAGGAATACGATGCATTCCCAAAATGTAGCCATCTTCCGTTGTCACTGAATGTTCTTCAACGGGGTAGCCATATTTTGTAATGAGAGCTGGCTGAAACCATATTTGGATTAGATTACTTAGACAGGATTGAATCACTTACTTTACTTTACAATTTCCACTTACCACGTCAAGATTCGCGTCTTCAGTTAAGTTATCAGAATAACGTGTGTCAATATTTTTAAGTAGCTCCTGGATGTTGCGAGCCTGTGGCGAGCTCCTGGCGACCGCCACACAAAGGCAAGTGGCTATGACCACCAACAGCTCCACACGTAACATTATTCACTTGCAGTGGACAACTACTCATTGTAAACGACGTTAGATTCGTATTTTATAACTTTGAAAGAATAGATAAAATACAATTATGATTTAAGCTTTGATAATGATACCGATAACCAACCAATCCTAAAATTTATTATAATAATATTGCACCCGTACTATAATACTTATAGGTACCTAGGTACTGAATTAGACAGGGACACTTAGATAAAAAAAAATTAGGCACCTAACAGGTACCTACGTGACTCTGCTCAGTCATAACTATGTGTATTGTGTATGTAAGACACATAGTCTGTCTTTAAATGTTAATCGAATTGGTGCCTAAGTTGAATCCAATTTAGGGAGAAACCAATACTGCATGGCGAGAGAACACCTATTGTAAACTGACCGAATGTGCAAGGAAGTAGTCAATGTCATTTCAGTTAGGCATGCAACCAATAAGTATAACTTAGTAATAAGTTAACAACTATACCTGTCCATTATTAATTAGGAACCTAAGAACAGCATAGAAAAGTACCTACCTAAACATTTATTTACTCTAGACAAAGCAAATAAAGACTATAAAAAGATAAATGAAATAATCAATGATGAAAGTCTGAAACAAATACTTTTTTGTGATAAGCTACACCTACTTAAAACATGAAAAAATATAATCTTTAAAACTGGTTCATATCGTACAAACGTTTAAAATTTTTGTCAGTTAATTTAGCTGTTAGTTCTATTTTCAGAAGATTTTTATGAATTTCATTTTTGACTAGTTTGTTATTAGGTATTGTCGTCATCCTAAATCAGCTACAATACGGGCTACGTATTGTATAGGTATGTATTGTACCTCGTATTATACCTACGTATTGTATTGTACCTCGCCCAATAAGATCATATTCATCTAGAGATCGATGTAGATATATCAGATTATCTGTCCACCTTGACGTCGCGTGCTGTACTTGATGGTACATGGCCTCCATTCCAAAACACTGTTGTCCCATAGGCCACCGGTTCTCCCTCTTATGTGGATGTGGCCCGCCACTACTGGCTCTTCAGCTTGATAATCGTCGATATATGTCATGTTAGTTAGGTACACTATTTATAACGTACGAATGGCTGAATCGATTTGGCTAAAAATTGGAGGGGACTTGTGGACTTAGGATACTTCATATCTAAGGATTTCCCGAAAATCTTACGGCAACGAGAAGAAACGGGACTGCGCTTTTAAAGACGCGAGCAAAAGTAAAATAAAATGCTATACAGTACCGGCCAGCAAAATGTAGTTATAGAACAGACCAATTAAACTAAGTACCTACTGACCTGTATAAAGAAACAATGAAAAAAAATGTAAACAAATTTTTAAGTGTAGGTATTGTAATTAACATTTCTAGACATCATCATCAAATCCATATTTACATTCATTGATTTAATAAGATTTATAACTCTGTCGTACACTAGTTCTTTAGCATTGATACCATACATGTAATCAATATGGCTGAATGTGCTTTCAGGAACACGGAATTTACCTATTGCTCTACCAAGCTCACTGAACAATCTATTAACATCTTGAACGTGTGCTAATGGGTCGCTGTCGGAGTAATGTAAAAACACCGGCGTGGTTACTTTAGACAAATCATACGGAGGTGGTTTAAAGAGCTTGTACTCTCTGTAGTTAGCTAGTGCAGACCCGTAGTCATACCGACGAAAACCCTTGTCGGCGATTCCTTGTCCGTAATGTGCCAGCTGCCTTACAGAAGAACCAGCCGGAGTGTGACCGAATATGACAGGCATCATAGTCTGTAATCACGAAATATGTAGTAATATTTTTTTTTTCGGAAAGTAAACTTTTTTCTTAGCTATCGAGCTAGTTTCATCCATATTTATGGGCCGAAGCCAAGTAAATACAGGGTGTGGTGAGTAGTCTTATGTGTTTGTGGGTGTATCTGGTGGTTGATCTCATTGTCTTCTATTTGCCAGTTTCTAATTTTGTTATGTAGAAGTAAGTTCGCATGATGAATATGTTTACTTCTTTACTCCACTTCATGCGAACTCTAGGTTTTCCGGCCTTAGTGGCCGCGGGCAAAAAGGCGTTTGCCCCCCGCGCAACATTCAAGGCCGTTAAACTAGTGACGACGGTATAGATGGTGATGAGGATCTAGATGGTGCGTATGATACGGTACTGGGGCTATATGGCTCCAGTGTTGTGTTGGTTCTGTTTGTTTGTAGGTCAGCGTCGTCACTTATTTCGGCTGTCGCATGTTTTTTGGTAGAAGCCCGCCTGTTCAACTCCACACCACTGACGGATCGCATGCTGAAACACCCAGCGTCAGCTCCAGGTGTGCCCCGGCGATCGCTCCCTATACGTTTCTTCTTAGATGATGTCTCCATTTTGAATGGGTGTCCAGAGCCACGTTAGTCACGCCAGTAACTTCGTAATCGTGTGTCCGCCCCCCACGTGATCAGATGGTCGATCAGGACGTGTGGTTGTTTAGGGGGCATATTATTATTATTACTGATGTTTAATTCAAAACTAACATTGGCTTAAAATATAGGCAGGTACTTACCGCATTATGTTGGTTTTCGTTCCATCCACCAATCAAAAACAAGATATTACTGCATATAGGTTGGAATACCACTTCATCACGACACATGGCTTCACCAGCCCATGTGAAGATTATTGTATGAGGCATAAACTCTCCAATTCCTACTAAGTATGCAATGCTCTGAAAATATCAATAGGTCATTATAATAATGAAGTACCTACCTACTTACTTATGATTACTTCAACACGAAACTCTTAACCAATCCAAACCCTCTTAGAAACTTACTTCTATATTATTAGAAAAAGGTGCTATTGCATTCAGGAGGAGATTTCGATTATGTGCCATATATGCCACTGGAGCCAATGCATGCATGGAAATTATCTTGTCATTGTATTCAGGACGCATGGCTCCCATCACAAAGAAGGATGTAGTGCCCTGCGAGTGACCTACATAGTGAAGTCTTTTTTCTCCAGTAGCTTCCAGCACGTAATCAATCATAGCAGGTAGATCTTTGTTGCCTATTTCATCGTAGGAGAACTTCCAAAAAGCTGTGCTCAATGTGGCATCAGGGTTTAATGTTACGTGCCTACGAGAGTAATAGTTTCCGCGCGCATTGCCCATCCAGACGTCGAATCCTTCCTCAGCGAGAATGTAACCTGTTAAAATATTGGTAAAATAAGATGTATGTGGAGGTAAAACTTTCTTTTTAATGTACTGAATTCTACAAAATTCTTACCTAAACCAGAACCTGGTCCCATTAGAACAAAGTCAGCAGATGAACAGAGCAGACCATGCATCACAAAGACAGCAGGTTTCTTTTGATTCGGTACATTATTAGCATCACGTCCGTGAGGGATGCGGTGCATCTCCAAAATATAGCCATCTTCGGTTATTACTGTGTGTATTTCTACAGGATAACGATACTTTTTGATCAAACCAGGCTGAAATTGTAGTCAGAAAGAATGTAACTTCTTGCTTCAAATTATACCCATAGGTAGTAGTAGGTCTAGAAAATAAAATACAATTATTACTTACCACATCTAAGTTCGCATCTTCAAATATGTCATCAGAATAACGTGGTTCAACATTTGTAAACAACTCCTGGATGTTACTGGCTTGCGGTGAGCTTCTGGCGACCACCACAGTAAGGCAAGTGGCTATGACCGCCAACAGCTCCACACGAACCATTATTCTCTTGCAGCTGGCAATAACTCATGGTGAACAGCATTAGATTCCGTTTTTTATAACTTCAGGCGCATTAAGATAAACAAGATTTATAGGCTTTGATAACGATACGAAACTTTAACATATTATACATGGCGACTCATTACTTTTAATAATTACCTAATAATTTAATGAACTCGGTTATTATTATCAGAATTAAAGCATGGCTGCCTCGTCGGTACTACGACTACTTAGGTACCTACCCACAGACCACGTATAGTGTGTTGGATTTGGATAACATTATTTTTATTTGAAAATTGTGATACTGTTAAAATTGTTACCTTACATGTTCTATTCTAACAGACTGTGAGATAGGATATGGAGACATCATAAATTTATATAGGTAGGTAGATAAGTAATTTCCCAGCTCAGACCTTCAAACTGGCGTCTTTTAAATAAGTTACTAAATTTAATTGTTATTGCATCTACTATTCTATTCCATTAAGTACTTAGGTACTGTACATCAATACCTAAGCAAAGATGGTGAAATTCAATTCTATAAATCATTAAAATAATTATCTGAATGTAAACATGCAGTACCTAATCGTTAATTGATTTATATGCTTAAAACCACTTTTAATCAAAACAATAAAGCAATTAATTTCATTTTAATAACCAACATAAGCCTAATCAATCATAATAAAAAGGTACTAAGTACGTAATTTCAGCATAGACATAAAAAAAAGACATGCTTCATCACTGAAGACTGATGAACTTCATGACTGAAGGAGTACCAGAGCAGACTTACCTACAGACTTACATAGTAATAATACCTCACCACTCAGTTTTCGATAAGGGGTAGAACTGCACAAATGGCCCATTTTAAAAGGTGCTTTATATTATTACTATTTTAGAAAATCTGGAATTCTGAGCAAGACTTGGTATAATTTTTTATAGCAGCGCGACTCGGGACAAAACGAGAGGATGTGTTCACCTGATGAAAAGCAGTCTGTGCCTATCGTGGATGGATACTCGATATCAGAAAGGAGTTACGAGTGCGTTGCCAGTATTTTGGAGGGGAAGCGTGGATATGAGACACACGGCGAAAAATAACGCAAGTGTTGTTTTAAGTCGGTTTTCTGTGAGATTGGTACGACTTCAGTTACAGCTCACACAACACATTCGTGTAAATTGTAGAAGCATTTAACATAGCGAGAGAGACTTTTTACTGCAGTATGCTGCGACTGCGATTATGGAGAAAAAATATTAATTGTCACTTGTGCGAATTATAACTAAATGGTTTTATTTAGCTCACGGCTTACCTCGTTTGTTATATTTTTATTCTGAATTAACCCATGGTATGCCGGGAGCGTAGATATACGCGGACGCAATGTGTTTTCTATTGTGTCTCGTATGCTGGCAGATATGTTGACCTAAATTAAGAAAATAATATCTTAACCCATAAGTTGATAAATTAGGTATAAATCACATTAAACATAAAAAATTTCTTAAAGTATAAGTTATTTTAAACTTATTTATTGAATAAATTTTCATATTTCTAATAAAAATGAGGTTAAACCTGATAATAGAATTCAATAGAAACCTTGGTAAGTATGTATAATAATAATTATGTAACGCCCATTAACCTCTTAATAAAATTACAGAATAGATATTTGCAATATGCAAGGCTATATCATCTCTAAGGTAAACTATGCAACTAGGGCACCAGGTTACAGAAGGGAGCCACAGGGCACCTAAGTCCACAGAATTACCTGCAACATATACATTGTCTAAACTGGCAATATATAATTTGTTTCATTGTCATATAATTGCATTATATGTCAAGTTAACACTTAGTAAAGGATATTTTTTTTGTTATGCAAGTATTGATTAATTAAAATGTATATCATCTCGGATATACCAATTTCTCAATTATATACTACAGTTTGCTTGCTTGCTTGTTGTTTGTTTGTTTATTTGCTTTGTTTCAGTTTCACTTCACTTTTATAAACATTGTATTAAATTGTAAAGGTAAATTCACTACATCTATATAAATTAACAAAGAGTGAGTATTAAAGTATTTATATTAAATCATTAAGCCTTAGTCAGTGTAGAAATACAATTGATCATCAAAATATTTAGGTACTAAAAATAAAATTATTTTACTTAAATAAGTATGACAAAGAAAATAACATGGCTGGATAGATAAATAAGCGTTTAATGTGTTAAGGCATTCCAACGATGGTATAATACCATGAGTCAACTTAATTAAGTAGTGCTAGAAATCTTCATCATCTGAGTCGAGTGCTGCCCTCCTTCTGTCAAACTTCACAGTGCTGGTTGATTTAGGCAACTGTTGATTGAGGGATTCCAAAAGTTGAATCAGTTCGGGTTCTGTTATCTTATTACGAACCTGACCCGTCTGGGCCATTCTACAGATCATGTTTTCAACCATGGCGCCTTTTTCAGGTCGACTAAGTTTGATTGTGTTCACTGGAAAGGAAGGGCACTTGATTAAATTATGTTCACATATAACTAATATATTAAGTACAGATATACAGTTACAACATCAATAATAGAGTATCACTAAAATATTACATCTAGCTCTAGCGTCTTGACTGAGTACTTGTGCCAAAATTGAGTGTTTAGCTTCTTCCATTGCTTGCATTCTCTCTTCCTGTTGTTTAGCATGACTAGGATCACCGGTACCCTGAAACGCACACAGAAAGTATAAATCATCAGAAAAATATTAAATGGGTCTAATTTCCCAGTAAATAAAATATAAAATAAAAGTAATTTATTCCAAAACCAGTATCGAACTTAACCTCAACATTATGATTCACACTCACCCCATGTTGAGATTGTAGTTGAGCAAGCCGTTGTTGTCTAATCTTTTCTAATTCTGGGTCATCCATTTTAATAAGTATTTGTGTTTAATATTATATCTCAGAAAATATATATTTTTACACAAAGGTACTTTTATTGCTTTGTTGATTTTGACAGTTAATACCATTACCACAGACAAAGTAAATAAATATTATTGTCTATTGTCAAAGTAATGTCAATGTCAACATGCTCGCAGCTCTACCACAGCAAAGCGTTTTGTTCACAGACCGTAAGTACCTATCGTTACAAGTGAAATACTCTATGGTCAAAATGCGAGCTCCGTGATTAACTCACGATTAGCTGAACCTATTTAGATGTGACTTTTAGAAGTGTTTATTACACTTAGTAGCACGTTTAAGTATGTTATGTGCATTGTTATTATCAAGGCATGCCCTCATTTGTAATCTATGTAATAAAATAAAGAGGGAAAAAGAGACCCCTTCTCTCTATAGTAAAATGACATGTAATAGGAATATCCAGTTTTGTTCCACTAAGTATTATCGACAAATTAATAAGGATAAGAAACCATTAATTAAGATTTCATTTATTTATGTAACATTATCATGCCATTGAAGTGTTTGATATTCAACTTTTTCGTGAGAATTGTAAAAAGCAAAAACAGCCAATTTGTTCACAGTAACAGACAGTCTTCCAAATGCTACTAATTCTGCAGGTCTCATGGTGGCCTCTTGATTATAAACACATTGCACCATATAAGTTGCATGAAACTTCACTGGGTCTCCTGGAATGAAATTATTAAATTATTTAAAAATATAATAAAATGAGGTGAAAATGTGCATATTATTTTTACTTTAGTTACCTGGATAAACTAAGAAGTCACAACCAAATTTTGATCCACTTGTAATATGGAATTTCTTTTCCCACAAATCCTTGAATATTTTAAACTTGATAGCCCCTTTTCCTTCTATTACACTGGGTCTCAAAACATCAATAGCAACTTTTTTCTTTTCTGTAAAATTCAACAATAAAAAGCAACCAATTTCAACACAACAGAAAGTCTGTCAATGGTACTATCAGCAAAGTTTACAGTATTACAGTTTTTAAAGAAATGCTCTGGAAAACTCGCTATCCACTGGGAGGTGGTGGTGGCGATTGTACATAAAGATATAAGATAGTTAAGTTACCTACCTGTGTCCATGTAATGTTCAGTTGGCAAATGAGTTAATACATGAGCAGGAGCTAACTTTGGTAATTTATTGATTTCCTCTTGCAATAATGCTTGCTTATCTAATTTAACATCTGTGAAGTAAAAACAAAGAAAATTAATATACAATAAGAAAATTTGTATACAAATTATACACTAAGGTCCAGTTTTTGTTACAAAAATTAGACAGCCCAGAGGTAGATGGTAATAATAACTGTATCTAAGGCCTATGACTCAATGTCATACAGAAATGTACTGCCTAATTAATCCTTTGAGTACCGTCATTATAGACACAATTAAAGAACAATAGGTTGCGGTCACCGGTGTTTTCGCGGTGTTTGACAGTTTAAATATTATAAAATTTAGAGAATCTGTTAGAATGGTTGATTTTATATCCTTTTGTTTCTCAAATGAAGAATTTCAGTATTCAAGAAATTAATATGTCCGTCTCTATACCTGTTATGCCTTTTGACAGCAACTTTTGTCTTTTCCCAGCAATTATAATATCAATCTTCTGCGACAATTGCTCTATTTTCTTTTTCTTCAGAGCATCCATTTGTTCCATTAAAACACTGAAATGAAACAAACTGGTATTTTAGCCTCAGAAAAGTCTAATTTGAGTGTGTAAGCTCTATCCAAAGATATTATCTGGTAACAACAACTTGGCAACAAAATGGAAATTTACTTCTGTTCCAATTCCTTTATCAACTGCTTTTCTTCTTCTGATGGTTTCATTGTTAGATTTGGCACTTCAAATAACTGACAAATCCCTTGGTTTACTAATAATGCAGCTTCTTCTGATGTCAAAGCCATAGGTAAACCTACGAATATTTTCATTCATATTAATTTATATGTAAAAGTAGGTTGTAGGTAGTAGGTAGGTGTAGAAGTATTACCTATGGCTAGCTATAACTTACTTGGAAGTCAGCAAAAGCCCTTCTTAAAAATTACACACCTAAAAAATCATTTTGCCTCGGAAATGATGGTAAAGATCCAATCAATGAACCGCATATTCGGTGGTTGGCTCGTAGCTCGTACCAATCTGGAAACAACAGAAAAAGTATTACTTAGGTACAAAAAAAAACATTATAACTTAATATTTCTTAAAACCTATATAGGGTACCTTCAGAATTCCATACATAGGCAGAGCCATTTTCAACGTAAAGTGATATCATAGCACACGAAAATCTGTTGACCTAATGTATAAACAACAAAAACTATAGGTAATGCAAATGATGAAAATAAAATAAAACTGCCGAAATGAGAGATCTGTCATATGCATTTGTCATCAATTTGACAATGACAATCATGACAACAACATATAACAACAATAGGTACGTGACTTTTTTTACTAGTGAAAACATTAAAGTTCAAAATGTTACAAGTGATATCACGTTCTTTCTTACCATTACCTATGAAAGACCAATTATTAATTTCACATGACTGATATACTTAAAATATGTAATATTTTATACATTCTAAAACATAATTATGAAGGGCAGACAGGTAATGAATTCATTTTGAATATTTTTTTATTTATAAACTTGATTCGTTGATTTTATTGAATGTCAGGCAACATTTGTCTTGTAATATTTTGAAGTTGACATTAACACTCCGGTCAAGGTCATGTCACATTTGTCAGCTGTAAGCTGATATTTTGAAAACTTTGTATTGAATGTATAGATATGAAAATCGAACTGGGATAACAAATTTAACAACTGTAAAACTTTTTAAAAAATATGGGAATTGTTTAACTTAGTCTTCACAATATTGTCTGTAAATATATTATTTCAGTCTTCTATTTCGTAAGTGACAAATGTCTGATATTATTAAAAGAATTCAGCAGTGATTATATAATTATGGCTACCAGAAAAGTGTTAATTGGTACGTTGGTATTTCTTTGGTAATTCAAGAATCGTAATTTATGCATGCCCTTTAATTTAAGAAAGCAAACTACCTAGTTTAAATTCGTAAGATTATCCACCGACCTGTGATTTAAATAGTAATGTAGCAAACCTTTAACCGACAGCAGTCAGTTTGTTTGCTTAGAAACTTTAGGTAACTGTTAAGAAGCAGTACTTGCTTACATAAGTATGGTGACTAAAAACTAGATTTGAAACTTTTTTAAATTGAAATCCCAAGTCAATGTTTTTAATAATCATAGTAAAAGTACAACTAAATATTTTTAAATAAATTAGGTACACAACCCATGTCTACCTAAACACTGCCTTAAATTAGGAAATTCATCCTAGAAAAATAATAAGCTGCCATAACTAACTAAGAAATAATTTCTGAACAAAGAGGAGAAATAAATAAAGTACCTACCTATGTATTTTTTATTTACAGGTGGGGGCACAGGCTTTATTGGAAGTCATTTAGGGGAGCTGCTTGGAACCAAAGGCTACAATGTAGTAAATATAGCTCGTATGCCTGGTGCTAATAATATTTCATGGACCACTTTGGAGAATTCAGGCTTACCCATGAGGTCATGTGCTGTGGTCAATTGTGCTGGACAACAGTTTATGGACTTTACAAAATCTTGGACACCTGGGTACAGTAGTTTTTTAATCAATTTTCTTATTTGAACACTTTATTGAGAGTTTGCAAGTCAGAATACTCTATAGCCTATAAGTGGGTCTTATAGATTATAGATCCAAAAAGCTTTCACAATTCTTTAGACTTCATGGTGCTAAGTACAGAGTTAGCAGTGTAGATTCTACTCTACACTGGTCCTGAGAATTTCCTAAGAGCCGAGTCTTTACACAGTATAGATACTGTAGGTATGTACATTTAATGTATATGTGAAGCATGCATATTGTGTAGGTCTGCCTATAAATTTGATAAATAATAGGTGTTATATTTTGTTAAATGTTGTGTAATAAAATAATAAATGGTTGATTTACTTGCAGATTTAAGCAAAATGTACAAAACTCGAGAGTTTATACAACAAAAGCACTTGCAACTGCAATTAACAAATGTTTAGATAAACCAAAGGTGTTTGTCGTTCTAACTGGTGTTGGGGCTTATGAACCTTCAGAGTGCAATAAATACGATGAGAGCAGTCCCACCACAGGAATTGATTTCTTCTCTCGACTGACGATAGAATGGGAAAAAGCTGCCAAAGTAGATCCACCTGTAAGGCTTGTAAGTATCCACATTTTTTTACAATTGGACACTTAAATATTATTATATTAAAATATCAAATATCATTAAATTCTATTTTTGGAAGCTTTTTCAACTGGATCTTCAACTATTAAGATAAGATGATAATGATTTCGCAATAAAATTATCATCAAGTTGTGGATCACACAAAGAGATTTCCCGAGCGGGAACCGACCCCGCGACACGTTGCGCGGCAGCTGGTTGCTCCCGCACTAATCGTGCATATTATTATATCTTCCAATTTTAGAAATCATCAACATGGATATGTCTGGACCTTCTAGAATTGTGTATTATTTATTGGCAATAATCTCGCCTTTACAATGTCATGTTTGTAACCCAAGTGGCAACATATTTTATTCTATGTATATTGTATGTATATTAATAAAGAATAATATAATATAATTTTCTTCTACAGGTTATAATTCGTTCTGGTGCAGTACTGGGTCGTTGGGGAGGTATGATCAAGAATATGTTTCTTCCGTTCTACTTAGGCCTTGGCGGCCGCATTGGCAGTGGCAAGCAATACCTACCATGGATCCACATAGAGGACCTCATCCGGCTAATTATTTTTGCTATTGAGAATGATAATGTCAATGGTATTCTGAACGGCGTATCCCCGCAAGTTATTACCAACAATGACTTCACACAAGTGAGTATGAATAGATAATAGAAAAAATATTTTTAATCTACCATCGCGATATGGGCTTGCAGGCGTGTACCTACGCCGCTTTTTGTGTGGCCGTGGTATCACTCCTATCGAGTCTGCCCATTCATGCCAAAGAAGGGCACGTGAAATGATTTTCACAATTGTCATGTTTGTTCGATTTTCTATTAATTGTTATTTTTATTTGTCATTTCCAGTCATTTGCTAAAGCTTTGAAAAGACCTGCTTTTTTGCCAGTACCTGAGCCGATTTTAAATATGTTACTAAATCATGAGAGGGCCATGATAATGACTAAAGGACAGTACGTCATACCAAAGAGGGTACAAGAATTTGGCTTTCGTTACAAATACGATAACATAGATGATGCCTGCAAAGAGTTTGCACACCTCTGTCCGAAGAAACATCCTCTTAAATAAATTAATACATATTTAGTGAAAAATTAAGCATTGCTTGTCGAAACATACCTGATAATAAATAACTATTTATTTAAAAAAAACTATTGTACGTTTAAAATCTGCATTTTATAGTCGTGTGGTCGTCATTTAAAAATAAAATACCATCACGTGATAATTAATGTATTCTATTGCTTTGTAATTTAATAATTCGCTAGTTTCTTCCTTCATCCGAAAACAGTAGGTACTTACCCAGTTACCATAAATAATATGCATAAATGAAACCTTGTAAAATAAAACAAACTTCTGCAGAATTTTTTTATTCATTTTATTATAAAAAATATACCTATGCTTTCTCTTGTCATTATCATTAAATTCCATTTAATATAAATTCGAATAGGTAGATTTCAGCTTATTTAAGATCTTTTTATTTCATCTTAAATTAAATTATTGTTACGAGTTATTTAAAGGTACCTAACGAGATACACAACACTTAAAAACAACTATAACAACTTAGGCTTAACGTTAACATTAATAAATTGTCCTATCTAAACGTAGCGATCTATCTTAACGTCTAGATATAAATTAAATATACATAAATAGAATAAAATCCTATACTCGACACGTCCGGAAAATTTTATAGTATAAACTCTACAATTAGCTGTTATTCAGACTATGAAACGATTGACAACCATTCAGAATTCATTAACGTAGAAGGCATGTTTCTTTAGCGTTGTATATCGGGCTTATTTTCGGCACATAATTTGCAAACTATTATGCTCTTTTGTGAACTTTTCATTAAAATAAAAAGCGCGTAAGCGCGCGCTTACTGGTTATCTTAAATCCTAAAAGATTTTGGAAAGCGTGCTATCACGCGCAGAAAATACGCCTGGAATCAACGCTCTGAACCATGTTGTAGCTGAAGTTGTAGAATATCGTATAAGTTCAGTTTGTATTTGTGCTATTGCTCAGGGGTTCTTCGCCTCAATGAGTGCGAACCTTTCAACAAGTTTATTGACAAACAGGCGTAGGATGTCTTGTCGCATGCGGCCCACGTCCAGCACCTCCTCGTGGTTGGCCTCATCATTGTTCTCGTAGCTTGTGACACACTCATTCGTGATCAGAGACAAAGCGAACACGTTCAAATCACAGTGTCTCGCTGTAATTACCTGTAATCGAAATGTTTGCTATAAGTATTTATAAATGTAATGACTTCATTAACTGAAATCTTCGATATCATCACGACAACTTGTCCTACTTTAAATGACACTTAGGTATTATTATAGTGCAGTTTTACATGAAATTGCTGTCATAAATACCTACTTATGTTTTATTTACAAACAAGAAAATCAGTACCTACAAATAGGTAGGTACCTACCTAATGAAAATTACGGGTAAATTACCCAGACAATTGCACATTTGCAATCTAATCAATCCTCAACTTCAACTAGGTAGGTAAGTACCTACCTACCTTTTTTATGGAATAAGCCAGTAAACGAGCAGATGGACACCCAAAACACTAGAGGTGTTTTGTTTACAAGTACGTTACTGGCCTTTTGGGGATTAGGAATTTAAGGACTGGGCCTTCAGTAACTCACACTACGAAACATAACGCAAGTGTTATTTCGCGTCGGTTTTCTGGGAAGCCGTGGTATCACTCCGGTCGAGCCGGTCCATTCGTGCCAAAGCATGGTTCTCCCACACTTTTAGATTCAACTCACCTCGTGCACGGTGGACATGCCGACAGCATCGACTCCGACCATCTTCAACATGTTCAATTCAGCCACCGTCTCGAAGTTGGGTCCTCCCAGGCAGGTGTACACACCCTCTTTCACTATGTTGTCAATGTTCAACTCTTTGGCTACCTGGAAGCAATACATTTTACAAATAAGATTATTATAATCACTAACAGCTTCCTTTATTATGAGGCCTGGACTTCCTTAAGGATGTTTTGTATACTTAAACCTAACGCTTGACAGGTGGCTTAGCCGTTTAGGTATCGCAATTAGTCAGCAGAAGTTTTGGGGAAAAATCGCTAATATTGCGCAGTTTAAATACTCCGGAACCATGAATCAGCTGTTTGATAAATATGGTGAGCACGTGAGCTCGGAGCAAGTGACGACAATGAACATTACCTAAATGGTGTAAAAAGTTAGTAAGTAATGTAGATATTTTCGATAAAACCGTGACAGTTGTTTGCCACCAAAGTTGTATCATGAACAAACTTTCATTAGCGTTAAAACCAGGTTTGTTATCTCTTGATTGGGACATTTTGTTATCATCTAACCGAATTTAGTATTTTAATCGTTTAATCTTCATCCATTTAAGCCTAATCACAAGATAAATTGGACTATAATGTCAGGGTATTTTCCATTAGAGTTTATTCGGTTAACTTTCCTGGCATGCCTACGTAAGTATATTCGTTAAAACTGCTTATTGAATGTCAATAATTCGACAAGAATGTGCAATAAAAGGTTAAACGAGTTTTGTGCCATAAAGCTATACCTACACTACTATGATCAGCACCACAACAAAATAAACAGGAAGGTAGGCATTGAGCACATTACGCAGTTTATTTATTGTGCGTCAAGTTGTAAATCGTACTCGCGACCTCTGATAACCTTGGTTCCAGTTATTATGTTAATTAAACCCGAGCACGTTCACAAAACATTTTTAGATGACAAAAGAAGTGATTGTGAAAATAATCTCGTATCTGCGCTGCATCTGCTTTCAGACGCACATTACAGGTCATAAGGTCAAAGATCTCACGTGTAAATGCGTTACGTAAGAAATGTATAGTTACTTTTAAACCTTACCTATCCCCATAATAAAGTCACTAACGGTAGAAAATTAATATCACATAGTGCTAGTGTCTTAATTAATTAAGTAGATAGATTACATGACCAGTTGGGTCAAAGGTGAATGTCAACCTACCTCCTTGGCAATATTTCTATATTCGTAGTTGTAGGCTTTGCTCATTGGTGGGAACCGAGGGCCGAACCTCTCATCGTTGGGTCCATGCAGAGGGTTGTTTCCAGCGAAGCCCATCATATTGATGTGGTCCTTCACGATCATGACGTCACCAATCTTGTATGAAGGGTTTAAGCCTCCAGCAGCATTGGTAGCAATCAATGTTTTGACGCCGAGTAGCTTCATCACACGCACCGGTAAGCAGCACTGAAATTTGAAAAATTGTTGATAAATAATATATCAAAAGACAAAATACTTTACGCAATATTCTAATTTTTAAGATCTAACATCTTGTCCATTCATTCATATATTATAGGTATTACTTAAGTATGCCCTACAAATGCAGTATAATAATCTTCTACATTCATACGATTATACCTACCTACTTCTATAGATGCATTAATAAGACAATCATTTCGATAATGCGTGCTGTTAATAGAGTTCAGATAACTGATCAGTTGATAAATTAAGTATCTACCTACTTGTTGCATGTAGGTTTTCATTAATATGAGCATTACGAAACATTCATTACTTCTCATAGCTATATTCCAAGGGTACGAGTAACGTTTAATTACGCAAGAAATGACATATGTTGGATACCTAATCCTTTTCCCCGAAGTAGTGCGCAGTGGGCTGAGTTTTTGTTTAGTCCTCTGAATCCCTCGTCATGTTAACCCAATGCCAGACAGCACGCTATTACCAAGAACCATTGATACAAAAACTCTAGATAATAGATTGAAACAGAAAAACTCGAGACGAGTTGTCAAATGCATCGACAGGGGACAGTTCACGGTAAAAGGTCTTTGTAAGCATAATGACTTAAATATGTTGTTTCATGTCGATATTTGATTTATTTTTATCAACTAGCTTCTTCGTTTCTGACTTTGTGACATTTGAAATAAAACGGTCATTAAAAAAACAAGCGCCTCGGTCGCTGGTATTATTATCTTAACGTGTCCGTTACTCTCCATTGTAATGCTCACAACAAGAGATAACCCCACTGCTGGGGGGTCGAGACCGCTTTGCATCAGCCACATCCAGATACGATACGGGTAAGGCGACGCGGCGACGACGAGAATTTTCCGTAGATTACAAGAATATTTATTTATGTCAATAAGCAGTTTCGAACATAGGTATACCTAGATCGTAAAAAATTGGGCAGTCTTACATTATTATTATCTAAGTAGAAAGCAAAGTTTCATTTGTAATGTTTCAATGTTGTGCCCTATATAATAAATGAATACGTAAACTAACCAGGTATTAAAAGCGACATACTTATTAAATCGAAAGATCACAACAACTCAAGCGAAACCACCAAGAAAAAATATGGTGGTGTTTTTTTTTTATTTTCCTCGCACTAGGATGTTGTCCTGTGTCATGAGTGCGTTTACAAAGATACAAGTATACATACACAACCTAGACCCGAAGTAATAATTTGTGGATCACACAAAGAATTGTTCCGTGCGGTAATCGAACCCGCGACACGTTGCACGGCAATTGGTTGCCAAGCCACCGCACCAACCGTGCAGTTATATACATCTATGTTTGTAGTGTGTGGCTAGTGACAACCCTTTGTTCAACTCTTTGTTTTTAAACCAAATAACTTAGCCAGTACCTTCCATAGCGGGTATCCCTCGTAGTAGTGGAACCGTCCCTGCATGGCCACCACAGGCACTCCACTGATCTTGCCGAAGACCAGCTTGCCATGGTGACCCTCCACTGTGCTCACTGGGAAGTTGGGGATGTCTTCGTACGAGATAGATTCTGATTCTGTGATACTTTCAGCCAAAGATCCTGGGGAAGAAATTATCTATCAGAATAGTGTTGACATTGATAAAACAGATAAAGTGCTCTTGATGAGTAACGAGAAGGCCTGCACATTTGTTTTTACTTAATTAATGAATTAATCAACTATTACCCATTGGGAATTCCTAAAATAGGTACTGACAACAATAGGGCCAAATTAGTACTTAGTAATAATGAATTTTGCTAACAGAAATGTTAAAAAAATTAGCAGAATGGCAGACTCACTCACTACTGCTGCATGACGGAGCTATGCAAAGTGAAGGTGATAACACAAATATGCAATTTAATCTAAATAATCATATTTCCCACGCACCAAGACACAATAACTTGCTGATATCGATAATTTCATTTCAATGAAAGTCTAAGTACATATTGTTTTAGAAAATGCTGTTGTAAGTATTCATTACAATTAATATCAAACGTAAATTAAGTTTCGGTATGAGAACAACTACAGGTTAATACACAACTGGAAAACGACGATATTAGAAAACTATGACAATTGCACAACACACAATGTACGCATTTATACGTATAGATTCAAATCTAAAGACACATACGTAGGCACACGAACAAGCCAAATTGTCACGAACCACAAAAGAGAAGGGAATTTAATGAAGGTGATTTATTTTCCCTTTACATAACTCCGTGAAATAATAGCGTGAAATAATATATACCCTCTTTCCAATACGAACCCATCCCAGAGCCGCAAATAATGCCGATGTGCGGTTTCACGGAGATGCGAGACAGCAAGAAATTCGCTATCTCCAGTAGAGTCTCGTAAGAATATCTGAAACAACATGAAAATTCACATTTATATTACATCAGTAGTGAAAGGTTAACACAATTATAGAATGTTATTCATCAAACATACGTTATGCAATTTCTTATAAATGTGACATGTGATGAGAAGATTCTAGATAGATGTAGGTAGATCTTAATGGAGTAATTACTAGGGTCTTCTTAAATTACTAGGGTCCGACGTAGGTTGAGAGGTAGTATAGTAAATGCACTTACAAACAGAATTTGGATAGACTGTCATGTAAGTTTAATTTTTTTTATGGCATAAGCCGGTAAACTAGCAGACGGATCAGCTGATGGTAAGCAATCGGCGTCGCCCATGGACACCTGGAACACAAGATGTGTTACAAGTGCGTTACCGGCTTTTTGGGGAGTAGGAGTTTGAGGGTCGTTGGGGATTCAGGCATTAGGGAGATTGGGGAAGGGGATGGTAATTGGGCTTCCGGTAACCTCACTCACACGACGAAGCACAAGACAAGCGTTGCTTCACGTCTGTTTTTTGTGAGGCCGTGGTATCACTCAAACAACAAACAACAAACATTTAAATGCGAGTAAAACATAGTTAATAAAGTTTTCCATTAGTGCTGTTCAATCGAAATGGGTCGGTTCGACCGGAGTGATACCACGGCCTCTCAGAAAACCAACGTGAAACAACAACTTTTGCGGTGCGTTTCGTCGTGTGAGTAAGATTACCGGACGCCCCCCATCTGCCCAATCTCCGAATACCCAACAATCCTCAAATTCCTAATCCCAAAAAGCTGTTAACGCATTTGTAACACCTCTGTTGTTTCGGGTGTACGTAGGCGGCGCCGATTGCTTACCATCAGTGATCCGTCTGGCCGTATACCGGTTTAAAAAAAATATATAAAAATAATGCCTTCATATAAATTAATTGTTCCTTTATATAAATATTGTTTACTAGATAATTATGAGTAACAGATCAAGTTTCATTTCAATAAAAACAAGGAAGTGCAAACCAGAGCAAGAACAAAAAACAAGATTTATGTAAGTACGTATGTAGAAGCATACTGCAGTGCAACCATTGGTCGGTTGTACCTATGCATTGTGACACGGCCTAATTTATATGAACTCAATGCGACAGAAATCGTCGACTGCTGATACGCTTAATTGATGCACTTGGCATAAATGTGAAAACATGTGAGACTTGTTAACAGCTGTTATGTAGTACATAGCTAAGTACTAAACACACACGCCTACAACTAGTAAATAATAAACCTTCAAATGTTATCTAGAGGTAGACCTCCCTGTAGGGAGTAGTACAACAAGTCTAACGATTTTTAAATCTGAACTTTTCTTTTCGCACCTAGGTATGTACATTAAAGCTTTGCCATATTTTTATTATATTGGTACTTAATGCCTAGTTTCTGAACCAAAATAACGGTCAATGTCTAGTTAGAGTACCTAAGAGATTAATTAACCAAATACTTTGTAGCACTTCGTAATACGCAGCTTTTAAGTTTTTATTTTATTAGATGTCAAAACAGGTCAAAAAACAATTTCAATAGTTAGTATCTATTATAAGTTTATAGTTAAGTTGGTACTTAGATAAGGCATTTTGTTACAATCTCCATTGACACTATGTGTTGAGGTAGGTAAGGTAACATTTTGTAACAAACTAGCAGTTGGTGCATCTTATCATGTTAACTGTTTTTTTAATATCTGCAAAACGTTATCTCTTGTTATCCAATGTAGCCATGGACCAAATAGTTTATTGGCACATGGTTATGACCAAGAAACGCGAACTTCACTTGTAAGTGTCTGTCTGTACTAAAGATTCTACGTCTACTCAAAAAGAGTCTCTTTTTTTAAATGTATTGTGCAATTCTTGAACATTGTATATTGTATTTATAATGAGAAATCGAGTATTTCAGTAACTAAGTATTGTATACGGCTGTCTATCGGCTCTATCGCTGATATCAGCAACTATCATTGCAATTGCCCTATTTGTTTTATCTATGAGAGGGATACGTGTCGACGTTTCCTCGAAAATAACATTTCTATTTACCTTTGAGTAGGTAATTGACGACCCACTACACTAGCACACTAGCACTAGTAATAGGTAGAGACACACGGCCACACATCAATCTATACAAAACCAGTTTATCCTGGTGTCGCGTCGCATCATCTTTTCGCACATTTAACGTTCAATTGATACTGGTTATGTAAAGCTCAATGTGTAGCCGTGTGTACATAACATTACAAATAATTAGTAGTTACTAAATATTTTATACTTTATTGTATACTGCAAAAGAAACGGGGCAAATTTAAAAAATAGAAAGTATATCCAAAAGACAAGCCAATCAGCATAATGCGATTTTTGCTAATGAGAGCTGTAATTTTTATTGGAGAGTTTTAATTTAATTTAATTGTTTATGGGGAGCTTTAAATAGAAATTACACCAAATTCTACAAAAATAACTTATATATATAATACCCCATTAATTTTAGCACATTATTGTAATATTCATTATCAAAGTTAAAGACATTGTTTACGAATTGCTTTATCTGGTCGGTAATAATCAGTCAAGATTGATAAATTAAAGATAACGTGACACGCCTCCTCGATAAAAATATTTCTGTTTATCAAACCTAAAAATATAATTACGTCAAAGGTAAGTACCTAACTAGTTCCTAATAAAAAAAAATCAAGAATGTCGGCGTTTTTTAGCCTTCTCATCACCGGTTGCTGGCGCGCTTCTCCAATTGCATGTCATTTGCAATCTGCATCTCTCCCGACGTCGCGTCGCGTCGTGCCGGCGATGAGACATGATTGTAGGCATTACCACGCCATTCCACCAAGGAAAAAACTTGTAAATTATAATTCTCCAAGTAGTAGACTTGTACGAGATCTCATTTCATTGAAATTATTTGATGGTCATTACATTAGGTATCTACCTACTATCTCTTGATTGCATCATAGACTAATCTACATAAATATTTAGCAAAATTATCAGAGACTGCATAATGTCTGAGTAATAAAAATGGTCAATTATAAGATCAATAAACTTATGTAGGTAAAGATTTAATTTTCAATCAATCAGAACATTAATTAAGGTTTTGGTAGATACCTGTAATAAGTAGGCACATAAATTTAATGAAGACTAATAAATAACGTACTAATTAAGGTATGTACTCAATAATATGAATCTGTCTGAAGGATAATTAGGCATCGTCAAAAAAACGAAAAGCAAACCGTAAGTATTAGTGAAAGAAAAAAAAATGTGTGAAATATAGATATATTGATTACGGAATGAAATTATACCAACTACTTAAAGTGACAAACTTTAAAACATATAAGTACAATTTAATTTTCGGTAAGAAGCGAAAAAGTTGTATTTGTAAATAATATCCACTATTTCGTCAGTCATGCTAGTTTTCATCAGCTAGCGCATACGCTTTGCAGAAGCGCAGTGATGAATCAATGTTGTGAGCATACGATGGTATTCCCCAAGGTAGGAAATTTTAATTTCCTACATAACTGTTAATCACCTACATTATAAAACCGATTCATCTATTTTTCAAACATTCTCAGACGTCATTCTATCGTTCTGTCTGGTGCTTTATATAATTGACGCGGATCGAATAATATTCAAGGATGTAGAAGTTTCCGAACACTGCGATTGATTGTTATTATTGTTCCATTTATCATTTAACCCTTGTTAACGTAGGTACATTGGATCATTAAACTGTTTAGCAAAACAATGGATCTATCTAGAAATTATCAACGACCACCACTAAATGATAGATCGGTACCAGTTTAGCGCGACTTGAGAGGACTTAGTGAAAGGCACGTAATGAATTAATAAAAATTGATTGGTCCTAATTACTTCGTGAATTGAATCGTTACTAGACACGCAAGTTTTAATATTATTAAAGAATTAATATTAAATTTAAAGAATTTTCCAGCATAACATAAACATCCGATTGAAAAAAAAATTTGGAAATTAATTATTTCAATGTCTGATATTAATTATTTAACAGCTCCATATTTTTTATTTCAATTTTTATAATTGCAATCAACAAGAACTTGTACGAAAATAACACTAGAATATTTGTAAACACAATAATTCCCACAGACACAAGTACATACCCTTTTGATGAGTTCCCATTTCCATTAGCTGCCTCTGTTTCAACTTCTGGCAAAACTTTCTTAGCTGGTACGAAGGCCTTGGCATCATTAATGTCATTCGCGTTAATAGGAGCCATCACTGATCGATATACACTTGATTAATTAGTAATTAAAAAAAAATGTAGCGTAGGTGTTTGTTCGTTGATGTCCGAGCTTGTAATGCGGGTGTTGATTGCCTCCGTCAGTTTTATACATTGAGTCAGTGGACGCTTTGATACAGTTATCGTTATAAGTACAAGTTCATTGGGTGTTTTAGTTTCAGCCAGTGATCAGTGGAAGGGTACGTACTCCTTATCGATAAAAAATATATGCTTAATCTATGTTTTTTTATATGTTTCAAATTAAGAATTTGTTTTCAAGAAGACGCATCGATGAGGTTGGGTTACATCACTTTTTGTTGGCTCCACTCACTCAAATTACTTTTTTAATTAGCTTTGTATATGTAAGATACTTACCTATATTTATGACGCAAATCACTGATTTATTTTATTGACTGTGCTTCTTCTTATTTCGTACGAGGCGGTTGTTAGTTGTTAGCCTTTCATAATATTTCATAAAAAAAATAAATATCCTTAGCTAATAATTATAATAATTATCTGGGTGTATCCTAAATTATTTTGATCTACTTGACATGCATGCATACTTATTATTTTTTGCATAATGTGTAATGTATCAACTTCACGGTCGCGGGTTTGATTACAGTGCACACCAATTACTTAGGTACTAGACTAACAATTGTTCCGGGTGTAGTTATTTGATAGGAACATGTTTTTATGTTACTCTTAAAAACAACCTTTATAATAATATTTTTTTCTACTGGTACCCAAACCTGTCTGAAAAAGGCAATATAGTGTCCAAAAAGATTTGTAAACTATATTTAAAGTTTCATGATTAATAAAAAACATTATCAATAAACACACGGCAGTTTCATATGTCATTATTACACATCAATAAAATACATATGTCCTTAATATAACATAGCGATATGATAAAAATAACGTTCAAAAGTAAACTAGTTCCATTGATGCTACATATGTCTGCAGTTCAAAACTTCATTCTTAGTTCAAGGACATCAACTTAATGCCAATAAAATAAATCTGTGCTGATTAAAAAAAAAGAAAATATCGGCTCACAATCTTATTCTATTTTGTGTTGTTGGTATATAAATCTGTTCGGGTAAGTAGGTAAGGCTTTATCGCTTTCGTAAAATTTTGGAATGGATCCCTATGTTGCAATTTTATTGTAAACATATTAGAGCAGTTTTCGAGATTGTGATTACGTACCTACCTATAGAAAATATAACTTTTTATTATTATTATTTATTTATCTTTATATCACACACGTAAGTATTTTATGATCTAAGCCCCATAAAACCGTGGTTTGATGCGGGGTCGAGTCGCTAGACATTACAATTAATTATTACTTGTTTAATCATTCTTTACTGTCAATCATTAAAACTGTTGTAGGGAAATGGTCCACTAACATCGATCACCGGTGACCCCATGGCGTTTATCGGTGAAGCACACCGGTGATGCACCTAGGCTCTAGGATTACACCTAATTTTGAGTACATTACAAAATATCAATAATTTGTGACGCATCAATCCATAATCACTATAAAATAAATAACAATTCATGACGTCAATGATTTTATAGAGAAATATAGATCAATAAAACAATTAGAAGATTATGCAATAAATTAATTACAAACAATAAAAAAATAGATAAATATGTAATAGAAGGAAGCAAAAACTATTCTCTGTTGTCTATTGTAGTAAAGGATACTTTAGGATACATTGCTTTAGATAGATATATAAATAAATAAATAAATATATGTGAGGCAAGAGATTGACGTGAAAGAACACGAAGTAGAGATGGAGAAAGTAAGTGTCACAATGTAGACACGACCTTCAGCCTTTACCCATCAATAAACGAGGAAGGAGAAAAGCCCAAATTAATTATGTGCCAAATATTGTTCAATACGCACATTGTAAAATTATGGAGATAATGTTATTAGACATAGATAACGCCATAACTCCATACACCTAGGGTCTAGGCTATTCTGTAACTTAAAATCCAAAAGATCGAAGTGAACTCGATCGTAATCTGTCATGTCATTCGTTGTGAGAATAATTTTGACCAATGACAGCAATGCTCATTTCGAAAGTTCCTACTGCCAGTTACAGAATGGCTGTTCATGGGCATACCCAGCTAACGCTTTTTCACTCAGGTTGGAATAAAGAAATGATTATAAAATAATATCAATATAGACACTTAGAAAATCGGGAAAATATACGGTACTACGCAAATTGGCCGTGTTTGATCTATGCCGTGTCTTCGGATAGTAAAATAGATAATCTCAGGGTCGATTACATTACCGGGGTGAAAAGTCATAATTAATGAAAACAATAACAATTCAAATATTTATATTATGTAACTATTAAAGTACTTGGTTTTCTCACATTACTAGGATAAGAACATGTGTACCTGTGTGTTGGTACATGGTTTATCCCGACCACCAACCAACCAGACATCCATGCTCATGAACTTTCGCGTTTACAATATTTAGTAGCACGCTGTATAGTGATGGCGGTATTTATTTGTCATCTGAGGTTTTTTTACTCTTCCTAAAGACGTCGTTAGTACGTAAGTACATAATTATACTTACATGGATAGAACCTGCATGAGCAGCAGAGCTTTCTGCTAAACCTGAACATTTTTATACTATAAACTCCAACCCGTATCCTGGCGGATACGGGTTGTAGTTTATAGTATTACGCCGAGCGTGAACATTTTGTTTAACCCTCTTTTGTATGATATCTTTATATAAAAATTAAATACTGTTTGTTAGTTTCGCTAAAAGTCGAGCACGGCTGAACTGTTTTGCCTATAAATGTTCGTAGAAGTCCAGGGAAGGTTCGAAAGATGCTTATTATTAATATATATAGTATTATATTCAATACATTCAGTAATCAGTATACATCAAATATAGTCAGTAGGCTTCGATATAATTCAAAAGTAGACTGTCTTCGTAACATATTTAGCTAGGTATGTAGTGAATAATTTAAAAATAAAATATTTAAATTCCAAAACTTAATATCTATAGTGCTTTGACCTTTTCAAAATGTCATGTCATTTGAGATATCGCACCAAACTTGTCTTATCAATGCAAATCTATTGTGTTCTGTTGATCGAAGATAATTTAAGAAAATCTTTAAAAAGATTTGTTTGTTTTTAATTCACCAGATACTTTTAATAAAAAAAGAAACAGATTGAAATCGTTGTTTTAAAAGAACATAAAATGACGGCGTGTGATAAGAAACAAAGATTATTAATTTTGTTATTGATACATTTATTTTAAATTAGATTTGATTGTAAGTCAACGATTACTTTTAAGTGGTAAACAGATTGTCGTCATTGGAACGAGCCCCCCGGTAGATAATGATGCATGGTACTCATTATTATGATTCATGATGAATTCGTGATATTACGTTATCAATACTTGAGTACAATTATTACCATTTTATTTTTCATATTCATTCGAGAAACGTATCTTATCTAAATAAAATTGGGTTACACAGGACATTGACGTATGTACATACGTATTTCTAACGTTGGTCTACTTACTTTCTTTGGACTTCCACAAGCAAGTTTTCCTTGGTAAGTAAAGTAAAGTAACGACCGAGCCGCGGAGAACCTAACGAGTTACCGGGGCTCCGGCTCGAAGTGCAGGAGTAGGAACGGGGTGGTTTTTAGTCAGCAAGAGTCTAACACTCCCTCCCGCCTCACCTAGGCGGGAGCAGTCATTCGATATTTTCTACCCTTAAACAAAAAAAAAAGGGTCTGGTTCTGGTCGGGCGGCGAGCTACACGTGCTCGCCATCCGCAGATTCATGCTGACGGTGGTGGCCGAAATGATCATAATTAACGTAAATGTAGTGTAATACATGACATGCATCAGTTTTCATAAATATTAATTAGCAATAATGTATTTGACTGTTGAAAGAAATCCTTTCAAAGTAAATCCTCCGCTCCGCCTCCGATTCGCCTATGCATGAGAGTCTTTACTTTTTTAGTCAAGCACAAACAGCATGGATATTTACCTACCTAGCTAGCATTATTACAGCAAAAGTTTTGATTCACTGACTTTCCATTACAATAAGTAAAAACATCACTTTTTAAGTGTGGGAGAACCATGCGGCACGAATGGGCCGGCTAGACCGGAGTGATAGTACGGCCTCACAGAACATCAACTTGAAACAACGCTTGCGTTGTGTTTCATCGTGTGAGTGAGGTAACCTGACCAATTACCCACCACCGCCACACCCTCCTCAGCCTCTCCAATCCCCAAAAAAAAAGAACTAAAGTGTAACTTTAGAATCTGCGTGTGTACCATTTTGCATCTGGAAGAGCTAGCCTGGTTTACTTTTGCTAGAATTTACAAACGATGGAAATAAATTTCAACATTTTTGAAAGAGGTCATTCATTTTATCAGTCTATAACACAACTGTGACTTTATAACAACTTCAATCAAGAATTTTCTCGACAGTTATAAAGATTCGATCTCAATTCTCATCATTATCTTTACTAAACATATATTGTATAAATCCGTGAATTCTCAGCATTCATATGCAAAGTTTCTTTTGAAGGACACAAAAAAGGTTTTATTATGTTGAAAAAATATGACTGTTTATATGCAATAGGTTCTGCCAACAGCTTCACTCGCGGTCACGTACCTTACTTGCCATTATTTGATCAGATCCGTTCAGTAGTTTCTGCGTGAACGAATAATTTAAAAATTTTTAACAAACATCTTCATAAACTTCTTTGCTCAGCAATCAACATTATAAGTTCTGCGCGCCGCGGTCTTGCTACACAAGTTCGCAACTGTCAGTGTAATAAGCTCCTTTTCTTATATTCTTTTATTTCAACAACAATGTCCTTAGCCTGTTTATAGTCTATAAGCCATAATCTCATTGGGTACAAAATCATAGTCTGATAGATAGGCGGCTTAAACACCCGCCAGAAGAGCAGGCATAGTTCTACTACTCTCTTGTCACTAACGTTTCTCCTTGTATGTTATACTAGCTTTTACCCGCGGCTTCGCTAGCGTCACAAAAAGATAAAAAGTAGCCTATGTGACATATACCAATACACACAGCGCCATCGTTACCAATACTTTTGTTTTCCCTCGGGAATATTAAATTTTTCCGGGATAAAAAGTACCCTATTATTTAATCTGGATTTCTAACTTTACGTCTGCAAAAATTTAAAGCAATCGGTTTAGTAGTTACGGCGTGAAAGCGGAACAAACAAACAAACAAACTCACTTTCCGATTTATAATATTAGTAAGGAAGGATAGTAAGGATTATACTGTTTTAAAAACACACTGGCATAAAGTAAATATCTTTACCATAAGCATTTCCAAGGATTTCTAAAGAAACTTTGTCTAAAACTTCTATAGAAATTCTTGACTTTAGTTGACGTACCTTAGTCATTAAAACAATTAATATGGAAAAGCGTAGGTACGTGTCTAATTGCACGTACTACCTCTACAGTTCTGAGTTCTGGGGAAGTACCTACTTTGAGTTGGTAGTTTCGTCATCTTTACAAAACTTAAAGTATTCAGGTATGTACCTACCTACGTAGACGTGCTTTGTATCTGAAAATATCTATGAATATATTTTCAGACACAATAAGTACAATGCACGTGTACTCGGGTAGGTATCTACTTTGTACCATTAGGTACCTCATGTTGGGTAAGAACAGGATAATTTTAGCTTATATAGGACACGTGATACCTACCTTCCTTTATAAGTATGGGTAAATGCAAATATCATTAGAGATCTGAAAGATTGTGAACATACAATAAGAAGAGATGTATTTAGGATATTCCTTCAGTTAGTTCTTTGCAAGCGAGGACGATGTGGGCCATCATAGCACTCTTAGTGTTATACCTTTTCTATTTACTAAATTCCAAACTTGGAAGACCGCGTCTCTATCCTCCAGGTTGTACTCTATAGAAAACAACAATTGTATCAAATGCCTAGAATTTAATATTTCATTGTTTCATTTTAGGACCAACACCATTACCAATTTTTGGAAACTTGTTGTCTGTCGCTTTTAACTTAAGGTCTAAGATTCCTCATCACGTGTTATGGCGGTCTTGGGCCCACATCTACGGCAACATTCTTGGTCTGAAGCTAGGCTTCATCAACGTAGTGATCGTATCTGGGAAGGAATTGATCAAAGAAGTGTCCACACGTGAAGTGTTTGATGGTCGACCCGATGGATTCTTCTTTTTGATGAGATCGTTCGGTAAAAAGCTCGGTAAGTGAAAACTATTAATTTTTTATACATACTTATATTACAATGACAAATGTAGATCTACAAACAGTTCCATTTAAATCTAATATTAAGTAACTGATTACATCTTAAACCAATTTCGGTAATAAAGAAAACAGGTGAAAATAGCGATTTATTAAATACACAAAGGAAGAGCAAAAGTAACAACTATTTTTGATCAATTTATTTATCATCAATAAAGATTAAAGATTATTATTATTTACTTTTGCTCTTATTTTGTGTTTTATTAGCTATTACTTGAAACATGAGATAAGTCAGCATGTTGTTCAACAACTATAGTGACTTTTTGACAATTTTAGGAATAGTCTTCAACGACGGCTCGTCTTGGTCCAAGACAAGGCGCATAGTACTAAAATATTTGAAAAGCTTTGGATATAACTCGCGTTTCATGGAGAATTACATTGGTGAGGAGTGTAGAGCACTCGTTAAGCTAAGGATGAGCGACGCCGGACAACCGATACTAGTGAACAACATGTTCAATATCACTATCGTGAACATATTGTGGAGACTCGTCGCTGGGAAAAGGTCACAATATACTTTATAAATCAATAAATATATATTTATTTTTATTGACATTTTTGTATAAATAAGCTATTTAGACAATAACTATCCGGATACATGACACGTCATACCATTTAATATGTTTTAAGTAAATCACATATTTCTGTCACATCATTTAGATACTGTTTCTAAAACAATGTTTCCATGTGTAAATTAAATGTATTTCGGAATAAACAAAAACTCTTTCGGATTGCACAATAAAATTCAATAACTCCGGTGGTGTTCAAATTAGTCTTAATTTTTATCTAGATATTTATGGAAATAACTTGGTAATTTATTAATTTATGAATTCCAGATACGATTTAGAAGACAAGAAGCTTAAAACATTATGCGACTTGATAATGAGGTTGTTTCGGGCTGTGGACATGAGCGGTGGCATTCTGAACTTTATGCCATTTATGAGGCATGTTCTACCAGGTCCATCAGGGTATACAGAACTGACATCCATTCACAAGGCTCTTCACGACTTTCTGAGGGTAAGTAGATGTAAAAATAAGTAAAAATTACGCACTGACGAGGTCAAGTTCACAATAACAAAATATGTCAGCAAATAAGATAAGCTGTTATTCAGTTCAGGGCCTTATGTTTTGCGTAAGAAACTCTGGATAATGTTGACAGCTTTATTTTTTTGTTTGTTCCAATTGTGCGAATGTACATACCTACCTATAATATTTATAAAATGAAGTACATACTTATACATAATTGACAAGCAGAGACGGTACCTGCAGGTATTATTGTGACGTCAGAACCCAGTAAGATAAGAAGTTTGTAGACTTACTGGGAGTTGTTGTAGTTAGTAACAGTTACTAAATTAATGAACTCCTCTCCCCTAACATAGAAAATATCTTAATACTTATGCCAAAAAATGTCAGTACATAATTATCATAAAACCACTTTGTAAAACAGGCTGGGTTCATGTATCGACCGAGCAAACACGTGTCTACATCGCGTGCGATGATTCCATGAACAAAAAAATAGGTACAGACATATGATTTCCTTGCAAATCATTGTAATCATTCAACAACAGAATTCTTATTAAGTTACCCTTTGTTTACTTTTCATACAATGAATGAGGTCGAAATTATATTACATTGAACTTCCGTCTGATAAAAGTGCCACATTAGCTAGCATATTGTCAAGCCTATATTTAATATAGAAGAAAAAATAGGCAAAGAATGCATTGTATTATTACTATACTATTACTTATCCGAGGTCGCACACACTTCCTATAGTTGGAACGGGTATAATTAATGCAATATTATGCGTTTACGTAATCAACAGGAAACCATACAAGAACACCAACAAAGCATCGACGTCAACAACCCCCGGGACGTCATAGACGCCTTTCTCATCGAGAAAATGGAATCTAAAGATCAATTCTGTACGTATTTACTTACAACTGAACTAATAATAAAGTAATGGTTGCCATTATCTTAAAATAGTAGATAATATATTCTCCGTTGACGCAAAAAACTTGTCGAATGACAAACATAATGTTTTTATCTTCATCTCCAGCTACTCGCATATCGTATTGACGTTAATTAGGTACTGACTTGAAATGAAATGAACACCATAATTTGTTTAATTAATTGTTGTTCTTTAATAGTAATTATTATTTAATGAGTTAACAAATGAATTATGAATCTTTGAATGGATAAAATCATTGATCATCACTGCTTGTAATCTTTTGTCCTAAGTTCTATTATAGAAAAGCCACGGTATACTAAGTAGTGCTGTAATTGAGAAAAACCATTGAGGAAACTTTTATTATTATATCTTGGTCATTTAAAGTGTCATTAAAAGCTGAAAGATTGTAGGGGAAATTAACAAAACGGATCGTATAGTTACAGATGAGGAACTACAAGTGGTCTGCCTGGACTTGCTGGAGGCTGGTATGGAAACTGTGTCCAACACAGCTGTGTTCATGCTCCTCCACATTGTTTGCAATTATGATGTGCAGAGAAAATTACACCATGAAATCGATGATGTCATCGGCCCTCTACGACCTCCTGCGCTTAGTGACCGAACAAGGTTTATTGGTTTATAACATGATACCGTTCCTGACAATATTTTTTCGATAGACATTAATGATGAAAGTTTGAATAATGTAGGAAAGATCATTTATGTACGAAAATGGACAACTTTAAACACTTTTCCTTTTCCTTTTTGAATATCTTCGTAACTATTCAACTGAATAATGGTTTTAAATATCAACGCGAAATCTTACTCTCTTTTCCTCCTCATAAGTTGGAAAATGTTAATGTTAATCTTTCGGAGTTTTTTTGTATTTCTTATGATAACTTTGTAACTGCCTATTTAGTATGGTGTACACCGAGGCAGTGCTTTTGGAGTCATTGCGGATATCAAGCGTAGCGGCTATGGGCATACCGCACATGGCACTAGACGACGCAAGACTTGGCGATTATATTATACCCAAGGTAAAGCAATTACTAGACGTAATAAACTTTAATTATAAGGACCTTATACACTGATTTATAATGAAGATAAGCATTAGCAAGTCCATCAGAATAATAGTTTTCTCTGTGCCAATTATCTCTTATCAATTATTCTATGCAAGGATAGTTTTTATAATGAGCTGAGAAACTGAACTAAGGCTAAGACTAGACATAAGCAGTGTGCAATTATTGAACCACTATTTAGGGGATGCACCACACAAGCGGTATATTTTAAATCACTTTGGAAAAAAACTAAGTAAATGGTCTATGATTTCCACGAAAAAAAACCACTATCAATAAAATTCCAACGCAGGTAATTAAACAACTAATTAACTATTCTTGAGTATAAATAATCCCCACTCATCAATGGAAGTTAGTTGTTTATTTATATTATTTTCCAGGGCACATTCGTACTCCTATCAATGTTCGACCTTCACAACAGTCCTCATTGGAAGGACCCTGATGAGTTTCGGCCAGAGCGGTTCATCACTAAAGACGGGAATTTAATACAAGATGAGTCACTAATGCCGTTTGGAACAGGTCAGTTTGAATTTACTTACAAAAGTTTTACAAAAATCTCACCTATTTATATAATGTTTTCTCCTTATCTATCCATCCTTTATTTTCCATGCTCATCTTGTTATGTTGTTGTTTTAATATCACGTTCAAAAAACTAAAGTGCCCTTCCAAAACAATAGTTGTGGTTCTGACCATAGAAATTACCATACGAGAACCCCAATAGATAGGAAACTTTAGAGTTCTGTCTAATAAGATTATATAAAACACTTTTATTATAAACGAATTAAATGAAAAGGAAACGAGTTTAGTTAATTGATCTAAATGGAGGCTTCATGTTTCAACATGCCTACCAAATTAAAAGAAACTGGTATTCTAAATTTAAAATGATATTACATTACAATAGTATTTCCTACATCCATTTTATCCGACTCTTTAAAGGTAGACTGATTGATGTTTTTGTTCATTTATAATGCTTTTTAATTTTTTTAGGAAGAAGACGTTGTATAGGCGAAGGGCTGGCGCGGTCCGAACTTTTCATGTTTATCACGCATATCCTGCAAAAGTTCTATTTGAAGATACCAGATGGCGACACTGTGCCGTCCCTAGAGCCCAACGATGGCCTTTCACTGTCTGCCAAACCTTTCAGAATAGTATTTGAAAGTCGAAATAACTTATAATTTTTCTAGTGGGTATAAATAACCCTTCATTAGCATAAAATTACCTGAGCAGTGACTCACTACGGCGGTCGGATAAAAAATGATTTACTTAACATAAACGTAGGGACGACTTCAATAATTATTATTAAAGGTCGTTAACACTTAAAGAACTTGTTTTATTGACGACAGAACAAGAGTTATTGTGAAATAAGGTTTATATGGTTAAGTGGGCACGTTAGTGAGTACTTACGTGAAAAAGTAAGAATCCGAGTGGATTCTTACTTTTTACAATAGGTAAGAGCTTAAGTAGGAAGGAAGGCATCTATTTTTAAATTGTTTCAGTATTTTGGTTAGTAACTGTTAGTTATTAATTCACACTGATGCGGGTGTCCATGGGCGGCGCTGATCGCTCATCATCAGGTGATTCGCTGCTCTTTTGCCTCCTATTCCATATAAAAAAAAACTGAACAAGGGTGAAAATCGAATAAAAACTACAATACATTACTAATAAAATTAATCATTCAAAAAATAATTTATTTAGTTTATACGCCACCGAAGGTGACATGATGGTGTGCGTGACATGATGACATGATGACATGACAGCTGTAACGGTCATCGCATATACATGTGGATTAGTAGGTTCCCTTCTGTGTTACCTTTACTCGCCTATTACAAATAAAACTAAAATTGCGATACCTCGCTTCAGTGCTACGCGCGACAAGTTTAGTCTCCTCACTGAAAATCAATGTGTACCGCGCATGCGTTACACATTTTCTTCCACGACTGTCAAGAGCACCGGCGATGTACCTACATTGTTTATTATACAGTGAATATTAAATATACTGATCACAAATCCATTCAAAACAAACGAACATTTTAACTAAGACAAAAACAAACAGAACCAATAAGTTTAATGTCATCTCTAGTTAAATGAACGCGTAAAGAAAAGTGTTAACAACATGAGTAGGTGTCGTAATTGATTTCTTGGTGAACATTTTAAATAAACAGTTTCTAATAGAAAATAAGCGAACATGTTAAGTAATCTTGTTGTTGTATATAGCTGTTACAGTGCTAAGTGATATTTTGCGTAAAACGGTTGTAAATAATTAAAATTGGTAAATAAACGATGTAGATATTAGGCATAGTATTGGCAAAATGAATGAGACTTTAGGTCGCGGGTACGCCCGTATTGAGGCGATCCGTGCGGCTAGGGGTGAGCCCCTGTCCTCGATGCCGGACCCGGGGGCACCGCCGCCGGACCGGTACAACTCCGTGTACCTGACACTCTTTGTTGCTGGAGCTGCCTTCTTACTGCCCTTTAACAGGTAACAAGCATCAATTGTTTAATAATTTGACTACTGAAAATGTTGTTGAGTGTGAGTAATTAAACACATGACCATAAGGTTAATTAAACTCGGCGTAAGTTGAATTGAATGTATGCATGACTTGGTAGAGGGACAATATTTATGTTAATGCGTAGGTACCTACACTTGTTTCGTAACAAGACTCTACATTATCAGATTCTTCTCAGAAACAATAGATTAGCGCCATGCGTAGGTACTTATCTTTTCATAAACGTGCCTTCATTAGCCCTTTGACCTTTAAATTTTCTTCGCAGCCTTTTCTCAGAATTCGCTGTACGCGATTGTTTATAAATAGCTTGGGTCTGCGATATCAGCCCCCTGTCAAGTTTGAATATTAATTTACCATCATAAATATTCAAACATAAGCTTTACCTTCGATGTAAATTACTATCGCAATTGAAAAAGTTTCCGTTTTACACAGACTCGCCTGAACTACCTACTTAGTATACCTACATTATCTAAGTTAGTTAATATTCCTTTTAATAATAGTGTTCTTGTTTACAAATTATTAACACTTTAATATGATAATTGGTAACCATACAGTTGTTTCTCTCTAATATTTCAGTTTCATCATGGCCGTCGACTACTTCCAGATGCACTATCCTAACACGACGATAATGTTCGATATGTCCACTGTGTACATAGCGTCTGCCTGCGTCGCCGTCTGTCTCAACAACCTCCTGCTCGACCTGTTCACCTACAATACTAGGATCACTTTCGGTACGGTACACTGACAACAAATACTGATGACACAATAACCAAAATATTTAACTTCCACTGCCAATAACTACTTAATCCTTAGTCTACCTTAACTCTAATTTTTCACATAATTCGTCAGTATATCCATTCTCAAAATTTCGGATGGCGTTATTTTTGGCAGTAGGTACTTTCACTCCATCTGGTAAAATGGCTCCTTTCTAATCTTGCATCACTGTAAACTTACAGGTATCCTAGTATCCCTAGCAACAATGTTGTTTGTGGCGGTATGCAACATCGGTTGGGACGGGTTTTCAACGCGCGTCTCCTACACCATCAACCTGGTCGCCATCGGAGTGGTGGCGTTTGGTTGCACCGTGCAGCAGGCCTCGTACTACGGGTTTACGGGATGCCTGCCACCCAGATACACCCAGGCTGTTATGGCAGGCGAAAGTAAGCTCTATAGGCAATAGTTCGTTTTTTTTTCATCTTCGTTTTTTTACTCATCAAGTCTTACATTTGTTTTTGTTTTTTTTTTTAAGGAATAAATTTGGTTTATAATTTTATAATTTACTTTGCTTGGTACCATCAGCAATCTGTCTCAGTGTTTACATCGATCTTTTAGGTGCCGCCGGCTTTTGGGTATCGGTGGACCGGATTGTCACCAAATACGGTTTTCGTCAGCCACAAAGAAGCACATTCATGTTCTTCGTGTTCTCCATACTCATCCTGCTGGGACATTCTATGCTGCATCATGTCATGATGCGTCACCCTCTCGTGCAACATTATCTGCGACTGACCAACGAGTCGAGACATAGGAGACGCATTCAACTACATTTGAACCCTAATGAAGACGCTACTTTGGTAAGATTATTTAAAAACAACTGGTTTATTAAATCAAACGGGTAATAAATGTATTCTAATTATACAGATTGTGTGATAATGGTCTAAAATGCAAAATGTTATACCTAGTCTAATTTCAGATGGAAAGTGAGGCTGGAGAAGCAAGTTACGGAGTATTGAAACTTCAAAGCCCTGTATTGTCAACTACCGGACAAGGTAAAATAATGAATGAGACTTTTTTTTAAAGTACAATAATCCAATGTTGATCATTACATGCAGGTCGCCTCGAACTGATCCATCTGGAAGTCAGTGAACCATTTATTGACCATTTTCAGGCGAAATCGAAACAAATGCGTTTAGTTTCGCCAACCCCGTTTACTCGCCGACTGCTGGAGCGCCTGTCCCGCCAGAGGGTGCTGTGGAACCGTTTGGAGACGGTGTGACTTCTGAGACTTCGTCAGCTCTGCGCACCCCTCGGCCTTCCTACAAAGTTGAAGACGTCGTCTTCGAAGCTCCCGAAAGACCAACCTCATGGAGGGCGTTCAAACGTAAGTTTATTACGTACTATTATATACATTTGCTTAGAATGTTTAGATCTAACCGTTTTTTATGGAATTCTACATTTAGGTCAAAATCCTCTTGCCTACTGTTTTCATCTAATTGCTTTGATCAAGTCCAAGAACCCTGTAATAAACCTTGAAAGTCAATTAATTGTCTAGGAGCCAAACACAAAATTGTACTTATCAATTAATTTTTAATAATATGATATAGAGCTACTTAACACTCTATAGTCCATCGCTATTTTAATGACAACGCCTTGAAAAACATGTAATTTTTTTTTAATTTGTTGAGCCGATGTTCGACCAGTATCTCGCCTGGTGGGAGAAATCTCTAAATCCTTATTGATGAAAATGCTACAATATACAAATTATTGTTACAGGCGGCGTGTTGGCTCGCTGGGCGGTAGCCCGTGCGATCTATCCGTACATGGTGTCTATCGGGCTGGTGTACTTCACGACGCTCAGTCTATACCCTGGCATCGCCTCGGAGGTCCCCTCCTGTCGCCTCGGCACCTGGATGCCTATCATACTCATGTCCTCCTTCAACCTATTCGACTTCATCGGCAAAGTAAATATCGTTCATATAGCAAAGAGATGTCGGTACGCGATCACGCTCATCTCTTAAGATAATTCTAAATATCAAATATCTGTACCTAATATTATTATCTTCAGCAATAAGCTTACATTACTTTACTAACTGTTAGCATTGTGAATACAATATTGTAATATAGACAAACTAAATAGTGCTGATTAGATACTTCCGATTTCCGCTACGTCTCCGGCATATAGGTATATTGATTATATTGTATAGCAACCGAACAAAAATCGAAATAGGCTGATATGGAGTATAAAATAATTTTAAATCTATACGTAAATAAGTATAGTTCAAACTATTTATATTAGTAATACTTTTTCTTAACGGACTGGAAAGATTAGATACCCATATAATATTACAAAAATAAAAACATAGTATTTTATTTTCCTTACGGGTCCTCCATATCTTTTTCATCTTGATTAGCCAGTACTCATTCGTGACATATTCGAATTACTATTTGTTGGTTACCAAACAATTTCACCTTTTTGTAAGTGGTCGAAAGAAACAGTCAGTTAACTAATAGATATGTAAAAAATAAAACTATTATTTTCTTTGTAAAATAAGGCATTCTCAATGTTTTTTCACCATCACCGGCCAATACCGTATTTACGTTTATTAGAAAAAATTGTTACTAAACTTTTTATATTTAAATATCCATAGATAGCAGCTGCTTGGCCGTACGAGTGGAGTCGCAGTCAGCTGCTGATGGCGAGCGGTCTGAGGCTACTGCTTGTTCCTTTGATGCTGCTGTGCGCTGCCCCCAGACATTCACCGCATATCGTAGGAGACGTACGTACTTCATTAGTTACATAATTATTTTGGTAAATGATGAATTTACCTAATGTCTCTATTAGTTACTAATCTGTATTTTAGATTCCTACACGTCAAGACTAATGTTAATGATATTACGTTTCAGATCTACCCAATACTATTTTCCGTGGCGTTGGGTTTTTCAAATGGTCT